GTGATGCTCTAACCAACTAAGATTCTTGACCAGGAGCCAAGTCTGAAATCTATGCTCTTTTCTTTCTTTCTTTCTTTCTTTTTTTTTTTTAAGATTTCCCTTATTTATTTTTAAAGAAGGGAAGGGAAGGAGAGATGGAGAGAAACATCAATGTGTGGTTGCCTTTCGAGCACCCCCACTAGGGATTTGGCCAGCAACCCAGGCATGGGCCCTGATGGGGAATTGGACCAGTGACCCTTTGCTTTGTAGTCTGGCACTCAACCCACTGAGCCACACCAGCCAGGGCCAAAATCTATGCTCTTAAATCACTGTGCTATGAAGGGAAAAATCCAATTTAATCATTAAGGCTATCTGTATGCACTTTTTTGGCTCATCTCAAAGAACTGACCCCATTGACAACTTTCCAAATTTATGATTTTTTGACCTCCATGGCCCTTCAATAAAACATACCATTTTACATATTGGGGAAGAAAATTTCTTGGGTGGGACTAAAGAGATCAACAATCCACCAAACTAGAATGGAAATCACTTCAATGTGAAAACATCTGAGCTACAGAAGTTACAGAAAGAAATCTTATCTGACATCTCTTATCTGACTAGAACACATCTTTATGAGAATCAGCTGCCATAAACCCTGTGTACCTTCAGGGAGACCTTCAGCCGGGGAGGAGCTGACCTTAGGCACCAGGACATTACAAAGTGATGGTTTAAACAACACTCCTCAGAACTTCAATCCTTTGAAACTCTAAACCACTCTCCTTATTACACCAGCATATAAACTTTTACCTCTAGGTGTTCTTGGAGCTAGTTTCTATAGGGTATTCCTAGAAATAAATTTTTCTCCTGTTTATTTATTGTCAGTTAATTCAAGATCCCCCTTCGCCCCCACCAATTGGAACCTAAATTGGTAGAGGAGTTTTTCCTCCTAACAGGGTCACAATAAGTTCATTTTAAAAATTGTTAACACACACAAACAATTGTTAACACCAATAAACAGGAAGACATCATGTTAGAATAAAAGACAATCTTTTATTATTTTTTTTTAATTTATTGATTTTAGACAGGAAGAAATAAAGAGAGAAACATCAATTGGTGTCTCCCAGTACAGCCTCTGACTGGGGGTGAGGGGACAGGGTGGGAAGGTGCATGGATAGAACCTGCAACTTAAGTATGTGCCCTAATGGGGGATTGAACTGGCAACCTTTCAGTGTAGGGGACTGTGCTCCAATCAGCTGAGCCTTTCCAGCCAGGGCCAGGACAATCCTTTAAATACATGCATATGCATTTAGTTTTATGCTCCTCACTTGTCCTTTACTCATTTCCTCATACTTGTGTTAAGGTAAATAAGGACAGCAAGAATCTATGAAAGAGCCTTAGGGAACCATTTCCCTAGTTAATTTGGTTCCCCAGGAGCCCTTTCTCTTTCTTCAAGTTCATTACTTTGTTATATTACCTTTACCAATAATCTTCCAGGAAGGCCTCTTAACCCTTTCCTGTTTAGGGCTGCTGACACTCGTTCCAGTTCCTTTATTTCTTGGGAAGGCCCTCTCTACAATAAAGGTTTTACTGCTGATCACTACAATGGGAGAAATAAACCAAAGCTAACACAAATCACAAATCTTAACAGCTAGTGTTTGCGTTTTTGATGCCCAGAAAGAGACAAAGACAGGACCCTCTCCCTTACAAAAATAACACATCAGGTGTTGGACAATCTCTTAGTTTTTGAAATTCTGCAAGTTTGGTATTATTTATCTCATTTTCCAGAGGAGGAAACTGAAGCTCATAGGTAAAGTAACTACCTAAAGGAGAGGTGGAAATAAAATTTGAATTCAGGGTTTTTGACATCAAAGCTTATGATCTTTCCCTATACTTCATGGCAACAAAGCTTTAAAAACTTTAAAAGTTCATCTCTTGGCCAGGTAGCACAGTTGGTTAGAGTGCCATCCTGCTATACCAAGGTTGTGGGGTTCAAACCCCAGACAAGGCATGTATAAGAATCAACCAATGAATACATAAATAAGTAGAACAACAAATCGATGTTTCTCTTTCTCGCTCTTCCTTTCTCTGTAAAATCAATAAAGAAAAATTTTATTCAAAGTTCTTAAAGAACTCCAACCATGATTTAAAGAGATCTTAACTATTGTTTTGTAATTTAATTTCAGAAGTTTAATTTCTTTAAACTTCCCAATTTATCTATATTTGCACTACACTTACCCTATCTATTCTTTAGAGTTGTCTGGAAGAGGATGGGATATGTATATAAAGGCTTTCTAGAGGAAGTGACATCTAAGTGAGCTCTGAAGGATTAATAGGAATTACTTATTAGAGGGACATAGAGCAGACAACAATGAATATGCAAAAAGTTCATTTCTAGAAATGAAACAATTTTGGTACAAATGGCCAAAAGAAAGGTTATAATGAGAATATTGATGGTTTAAACTAGAGAGGTAACCAGGTGTCAGATCATGAAGGCCCATCTAAAACTATTCTAAGGAGTTTATATTTCTTTTTTGAGGACAGTGGGGAGCCATGCAAGTGTTTTAAACTAAGGAGTTTTATGTTTTAGGTAGAGAATTGGAAGGAATTAATCTGGTAAAAGGCCAGTTAGGAGCTTGAACTAAATCCTCAGAAATGGTTTCCTAGATTGAAAGGGAAAACTGGAGAATAGGTATGGGATAGGTATAGAGGAGATTACAGAAGGAAGACATAGAGGAACAGGTTATTCCAGAACTTGCCCCTCTCTAAATAGATGCAACCTTGTCTGATTTCAGAGAGAAATCTCCTTGAACAGCTACAATTTTTTACAGTTAATAAAAAAAAATATTTTTTAAAACTAATATTATTGATCACTTTGTATAAATTACATATTGTTTTAGGCCTGGGGATACAACAAAACAAAGTCCTTGCCTTCCTGTGGTTTACAGTTTTTTCCCAGTGGGAGGAGGAGGAAAATAAACAGAAATAAAATAAATATATAGCATGAAAAATAGTGTTAAGTATGAAAGCAGAATAAAAGGGCAAGAAATATGGGGAGGGTGTGTGGATGGTGGTGAGGATTTCCATTTAATGCATCATAGTGAGGGAAGTTCTTATTGATTAGGCAACATTTGAGCAAAACTTGAAGGAACTAAACCCTGGCTGGTATGGCTCAGTGGATTGAGCACTGGTCTGCAAACCAAAAGGTTGTTGGTTCAATTCCCTGCCAGGGCACATGCCTGGGTTGTGGGCCAGGTCCCCAGTTGGGGGCATGTGAGAGGCAACCAATAGATGTTTCTCTCATACATCATTGTTTCTCTCTCTCTCTCTTTCTCCCTTCCTTACCCTGTCTCTAAAAAATAAATAACATCTTTGAAAAAAACTTGAAGGAAATAAAAGCCATCCATGAGGATAGCAAGGAGTCAAATAGTGCCAGAGTAGAATAAGCAAAGGGAAGAGGGACAGAAGATGAGGCGAGATAAATGCATGGAGAAAATGACTATGTAGAACCTGGTAGAGCATTTTTGTTTGTTCATTTTTTTTTTTTAAATTCTGTGTGACATGGGAAGCTATTAGAGGGTTTTGGGCAGAAGAGTGACATGATCATTTAAACTGATCACCCTAGCTCCTGTGTGGAGAATAGATATTAACAGAGCAAGACTGGAAGCAGGAAAACCAGACAAGAGAATAGTGTGAAAATCCAAGTGGGTAATGACAGAGGCTTGGACCAGGGTAGCAGTGATGGAAGAGGTAAGATACAGACAATCTCTGAATACATTTTGAAGATAAAGCCAACAAACTCTGGTTGGGTAGCTCAGTTGGTTAGAGAATCATCCAAATAAGTCAAGGTTGTAGATTCTATCCCTAGTCAGGGCACATACAAGGAGCAACCAATGAGTGCATAAATAAGTGGAACAAGAAATTGATGTTTCTCTCTCTCCCTCCCCTTTCCTCTCTCTCTCTAATATCAACTTTAAAAAATGAAGATAGAGCCAACAAGATTTCCTAAAATATTGGATATGGGATATAAGAATAATAGAGGAGTTAAAAATGATTTCGAAGGTTTTTGTCATAAACAACTGAAAGGAAGGGTTGCCATATACAGAATTGGGAAAGATTGATAGGAAAAGCAAGTTAAAGGGAGACTATCAGGAGCCTACTTTTGGATACATTAAGGCCATTTAGATAACCAGGTGGACATGTTAAATAGACAGCTGGATATATCACTGGAAAGTTTAGAAGTGAGGTATAGGCTAGACATATAAAATCAGAATACATGAGCACATAGATTGCTTTTAAAGTTTGAAACTAGATAAAATCACCACAAGTAAAAGAGAATGGACAGAGAAGCGGTACACAAGTACTGATTCCTGGGGTACACAAAGATTTAGAAGTCTGGGTGATAAGGGATCAAGAGAATGAAAAGGAGCAGCCAATGAGGTAGGAGGAGACGGGAAAGAGAAAGAGAAAGGGATGGGGGAAGAGGAGGTGAAGATGTGTCTTGGAAGCTAAATAAAGAATTTTAGGGCAAAAAAATGATCATTTCGGTCAAATGCTATTGAGTAGTCAAATAAGATGGGGAATGAGAACTGACCATTGAATCTAGCAACGTGGAGGTTGTTGGCAAGAATGGTTTAGTGGAATGGTGGGGATGAAAGAAATTGGTAGGAGAAAAATTGGAGATAGCAAGGTAGTAGAGGTATGGGGACAATACCTGAATAGAGAAATTAGAGAAAAAGAAGTATTCTTTTATTATTTAATTATGGAAAAATGCCAGCTTGTTTATATGCTGGAGGCAATAATTCAAAAGAGAAGGAAAAAATGATACTGCAGGAGAAAAAAAGGGTGTTGCTGGATGATGTCTTTGACCAAGCAAGAGGGGATGAGATTTAGTGTACAAGTCCAGGGGTTGGCCTTAGATAAAAGCATAAATTGTTCATAGTAATGGGAGGGAATGCAAAGTCAAAGAGCCTATACTGGTGAGCAGATGTGACAGTGGGAATTTGGGATGTTCTTTGATTTTGTTTTCGTTTTAATGTTTCACAAATTTGCACATCATACTTGTGCAGGAACCACACTAATCTTCTCCGTTATCATTCCAATTATAGTATATGTGCTGCCCAAGTCAGCACAATTGCTTTTCTTTTTTTCAGGGAAAGAGGGAGTTGAGAGTTTGGTGGGGGAGAGGAGGTATTAGAAGTTTGAGGACAGAGAAGTTATTAAATAGCCCACTTCAAAAAAATAGTGATTTAGACTTGGAGTCAGAAAACTCAATTTTGACTCCCAGATTTTCCACTTATCAGGGGGTAAAACAATGTCTATTTAACCTCTAAGCTGTTCAGTTTCTCTATGGTTAAAATGGAGATACCTACAGCCCAGAATTTTTTTTTTGTATGAGTATTAAATAAAAGAATAAATGTGAAAGAAAAGGATTTTGCAAAGTTATTTGTACTTGAAAAATAATTTTAACATTTGAATCTACTAATCAAGGACTTGCTTTGTAAGCATTGTCATGTGTTTTACATACATCATCTTATTTAATCCTCACATTGACCTCAAGAGGTGAGGAATTCTCATCCCATTTTACTTTGGGAGGTTGAGCTTCAGAGGTATTAAAAATCTTACCCAAGCCTCGGAAGTTAGTAAGAAGGCAGAGTGGCAATCCAATCTAGGCTACAAATCTAAGGCTTAGAACTATCCTTTTACTATATAACTTTTCTTTTTGATTAGCTAAAGTGTAGTAATTTATTGTTCTCCTGGAACAGGTTATAAGGGTTTTCTTGGTACTTTTTAGGGAACAAGAAAGCTTAGTTCATTTTGTTACTTATAAGGTCAAAGGTACTTTAGATATTTGAGCCATCCATTGTCAGCAGGAGTTGAAACACAGAACTGACGTGAGAGGTGCCGTTGCCAGATTTTTAGGAGAACGGTCTTTAAAAAATATATTTTGTTTTTCTTCCTTTCTTTCTTTAGATTTTATTTTTTTAGAGAGAGAGGAAGGGGAGGAGAGAGGGAGAGAAACATCGACCTGTGAGAGACACATCAACTGGTAGCTTCTCCCACGCCCCCAACTGGGGATCCGGCCCGCAACCCAGGCATTTGCTCCAACCAGGAGTCGAACCGGCAAACTTCCGGTTCGCAGGCTGGCGCTCAATCCACTGAGCCACACCAACCAGGGCAAAAAATATATTTTCAAGTATTAAAAATACATATTCTACTTCCCACCTCTATAAGCTGATCACAGATATGCATGCCTCTGAGGGGCGACAGCAATGCGGTATGAATCCAGGAGGTGTAGGTTTGAGGGAGGCTGGGCTCCTAGGGTAGAGTAGGAGTTGCGCGAGTTTGGCGGCAGGATTAAGATAGGTCTCCTCAGTGCTGGTTAGCTGGGGAGGGACTGTTGGGCCCTGATAGGGTAGAGTGGTGGTCGGCGGGGGCGGAGGTGGGGAGGTCTCCTCCTGCGGCCCGCCTCTGCGGGCGCGGGGTGAGGCTGCTGCGGGCGCGTGCGCGTCGCTACGCCGGGCGTTTCAAAAGCGTGGCCGCCAGGACAGAACGGTGCGGATGGTTAGTGCGCAGCCCACGGATCCGGCGCTGTTCAGCAGCCTTCTCGGAACTGGTTGGCTTCACCTCCTGTGGGATTCAGCTCCGGCTCGACGCCCGCTCCCTCCTCACGCCTCGCTGGCCGGAGTTGCCATGGTTCACTTCTTGCACCCAGGCCTCTCTCCTGTGACCATCGTCCCTCCCGATGCTCAGAAAGATGCCCTGGGCCGCTTCGTGGTGCAGGTGAGCAATGAGGCAGGGGCGGGGACGAGAACCCGAACCTCAGCGGGACGCTGGGGGCCGGGAGAGCGCGACCAGTCGTCGGGGACCTTGCGAAGGCACTTGTCGGGTCTTTGGGGTGACGCGAGGGTAAAGTCTGAAGAGGCTGAGTTCCTGTTGGATTCCCGTCGTCGCCGGGGAAGTGCAAACTTGAGAGTTTTCTGCCCGGGACGTCCAAGCCTCGGGGCAGATCGTAGTGATCTTGAGCTGGTGAGTGCAGGCTCTGCGAGAGCGACTGCCGCCTTCCGCGTGACCTGGGACGAGTCCCCACCTCAGATCTTAGACTCTCCTCTTGGCTGTAGCTGTTTCACCGGGTGGTGGAAGGTTAGACGTAAGTGCTGGGCATAGCGTTAGGCCTGAGCCGTAGTGGACGGTGGTGCTTTTTGTCGTAATGAACCCAAATGCCCCAAACCTCGACGGTTTCCCCAAGTGCATTGTGGACGCGGTACTCCCCAGAGGCTGTGACCCCTCGACCCCTACTACCCGAGTCCTCAGGTCCCGGGACCGTAACCGGAAGACCCTCCTGAGCCTGGCCAGGGGAACTGGAAACCTCAAAGACTGAAATTCTTTCAATTCCACGGTTTAAAAACAAAACAAAAACCTGGAATACCTTTTAAACTAAACTCTGAGCAAAATGCAAACCAAGAGTATTTGGCACCTACTGGTGTTTTAAGTAGCATCGCATTTCTAAAATAAATCTGAGTATATGCTTATGAACTTGAACTTGACATCAGGAGTTTTGATGTCAGACTTCACATTCTACAACAAACGCCCCAAGGACCACACTCTTAGAATTGAGTATCTAGTGAAGGCTCAATCCAATAATTCATACAGAGGGAAGGAAATATTCTCATTGAGGTTGTACTTGATTTACTAGTGCCTTGTTGGAGGGCCTTTGTTCCCTGCAAAGATCTAGCCTTTACTCCTGTAGTACTCATTTGGACGTACTTTTAAAAGCTGCTATATAATTTGTAAATTCGTTTTGTAGCTAATTGAGAAACTAGGTTTTTAATTACATACTAGCACAGTGTTCCACGCTTTTTCCTTTTTCCTTTTTTTTTTTTTTTTTTTTTTTTTGCGGGGCGGGGGGTGGGTGGGACGCTGGTTGGAATCCAAACACAAGATTCTTCCCCCCCCCCCCCTAGTATTTAGAGAAAGAGAGGGAGAGAAACATCAATGTGTGAGAGGTACACTGATCGGTTGCCTCCCACATGCCCCCAGCTGAGGACCTGGCCGACAACCCAGGCACGTGCGCAGGTCAGGAATCCAACCCGTGATCTGTTCTCAGGCTGCGGCTCCGTCCACTGAGCCATACCAGCCAGGGCCAAACGCAAGGTTCTTTAGGAGAGAGACCAGACCAATCCATTTTGTAAGTCAGGTTCCATGTACACTCATTTTCTTTGTAAGATTTTACATTTAGTTAATATTTTTAAGGTTTTATTTATTTTTAGAGATAGAAGAGAGAGAGAGAAACATCCACCTGTGAGAGAAACATGGCCCCACAACCCAGGTAGCAACCCAGGAACATGATCTGGCTCACGATCAAAATGGCAACCTTTTGCTTTGTGGGATGACCCCCAACCAACTGAGCCATACCCTCAGGGCTCTATCTGCTAATATTTTGTTAAATGTTCTTACTTACGTACATGTTTAAGAGGGAATTGGTCTTTAGAAATATTTTGTTTGATACTAGTATCTGGATAATGCTGGTCTCAAAAAATGATTTGGGAAGTGTTAGTTCCTATTAAAATATTTTCTGAGTATGGGGAGATTTGGTACTATTTATTACTTAAGCATTAATAGAACTCACCAGTGATGCCACTGAGAATTTTAATTTCTTTGAGGGGAGGAAGGTTTTTAATTATGTGTATTTCTTGGGGAAGAATTTAATAATATATTTATAAGAGCATTAATTCATCAAGAAGCCATAACATTACTAAATGTGTATGCACTTACAGTTTGCCAGTTTTTGTAGTTTGTCATTGAAGGAATTTGCCCATTTCACCCCAATTTATTGGCAAAATTTTTCATACAATTCCTTTATTATCCTTTAATGCTTTATAGGATCTGTAATGATCCCTCTTTTGTCCTGGTTTGGTCATTTGCATCTTCTCTTGGTCTTGTTCTGTACTAAATCTAGGGATTCAGTAATATTATTAATCTTTTGACTTTGCTTTATATCCATTGCACATCTGTTGTTTTCTTAAAAATTTTATAATTCCTTTCTTTTTTCTTTTTTTATCTATATTTTATTGATTACACTATTACAATTGTCCCATATTTTTCCTCCCCTTTATTTCTATCTGCCCTACACTACCCCTCCCCTCACCATTCCCCCTCTTAGTTCATGTCCATGGGTCGTACATATAAGTTCTTTGGCGTCTCCTTTTGCTATACTATTCTTAACCTCCCTCTGCCTATTTTGTACCTATTATTTATGCCGCTTATTCCTTGTGCCTTTTCCCCCATTCTTTCCCCTTCCCTCTGATTTCCATTTCTATGATTCTGTCCCTGTTCTAGTTTTTTGCTTAGTTAGTTTTTGTTTTTGTTTTTTGGTTCAGTTGTTGATAGTTGTGAGTTTGTTGTCATTTTACTGTTCATAGTTTTTGATCTTCATCTTTTTCTTACATAAGTCCCTTTAGCATTTCATATAATAAGGGCTTGGTGATGATGAACTCCTTTAACTTGACCTTATCTGGGAAGCGCTTTTTCTCTTCTTCCCCTGTGAATGATAGCTTTGCTGGATAGAGTAATCTTGGATGTAGGTCCTTGTCTTTCGTGACTTTGAATACTTCTTGCCAGCCCCTTCTTGCCTGCAAGGTTTTTTTTGAGAAATCAGTTTATAGTCTTACGGGAACTCCTTTGTAGGTAACTGTCTCCTTTTCTCTTGCTGCTTTTAAGATTCTCTCCTTATCTTTAATCTTGGGTAACGTAATTATGATGTGCCTTGGTGTGTGCTTCCTTGGGTCCAGTTTCTTTGGGACTGTCTGAGCTTCCTGGACTTTCATTCTAGTCCCTTCACCAGGTTGGGGAAGTTTTCCTTCATTATTTTTTTAAATAAGTTTTCAGTTTCTTGGTCTTCCTCTTCTCCTACTGGCACCCCTGTGATTCAGATGTTGAAAGTTTTAAAGTTGTCCCAGAGGTTCATAAGCCTCTTCTCATTTTGTTGAATTCTTGTTTCTTCATTCTGTTCTGGTCTAATGTTTGTCTCTTCTTTCAGCTCCAAATCATTGATTTGAGTTCCAGTTTCCTTCCCATTACTGTTGGCTCCCTGTATATTTTTCTCTCTTTCACTTTGCGTAGCCTTCACTTT